TGGTAATGTCCTTCTTGGATAGTGTACATCACCCAAGGGTTGCTGTTGAGGGTGGTCTGATGGTGGTAATGTCCTTCTTGGATAGTGTACATCACCCATAGATTGCTGTTGAGGGTGGTCTGATGATGGTAATGTCCTTCTTGGATAGTGTACATCACCCAAGGGTTGCTGTTGAGGGTGGTCTGATGGTGGTAATGTCCTTCTTGGATAGTGTACATCACCCATGGGTTGCTGTTGAGGGTGGTCTGATGGTGGTATTGTCCTTCTTGGATAATTTACATCACCCATGGGTAGTAGTTTAGGGTGGTCTGTTAGTGATAATGTCCTTGTTAGATGAAGTACATCAGCCATGGGGTGCTGTTGAGGGTGGTCTCTACCAGTACTGCTTGCACCTTCGATTGGGGACAAAACGTTGGTGGAATGTGATACCTGACTGGAAGAACCTGGTCTACTTGTTCTTTCCCGTCCAATTGGTGGATAACGGGAAGCTGAATGGAATCCTGTAGTGGAGGAATTCTGACTAGGCCGAGGTCGGCTAGATCCTGACAGCTCTACAATCTCTGGTTGAAAAGGTGCATCTAAAACGTGCCTTTTTGACATGGCAGGTTGATGATATCCAGAGACTGGATAGTTAGACAACAAAGCAAGGCTGGATATAGAGGCATGGTAGGATTGAGTGTAGTGATCCTGACTTGACCAAGGCATGATGGTACGTGTAGCACTTGTGCTCTCAGGAACCAGTGGCGGATACTGTGTTGGTGAAAGGTACCCTGCAGACATGGCAGGTTGATCATGTCTCGAGACTGGAGGGTTAGGAGGTGGAGCAGAACTTGACATAGTGGCATGGTAGATAGAATCATACCCGAAATAACGACTGTAAGGAATGATGGGAAAATGAGTAACGTTTGAGTTGTCCAAGTCGGCTGAGCTATAAGAAAATAGACTTTTTTCTTACTATCTGTTTGCCAGATGAGAAATAAGAAATGAACTACAGGGTTAGGAGGTGGAGCAGAACTTGACATAGTGGCATGGTAGGTAGAATCGTACCTGAAATAACGACTGTAAGGAATGATGGGAAAATGAGTAACGTTTGAGTTGTCCAAGTCGGCTGAGCTATAAGAAAATAGACTTTTTTCTTACCATCTGTTTGCCAGATGAGAAATAAGAAATGAACTACTATTGGTCTTTATGAAACCATTTAAGAAACATTTTGATCAGTAATGAAGAAGAAGAAAAAAAGAAATAGAAGAGACTGTAGTCCCTCCCCTCCCCCCCCCCCCCCCCCCCAACACAAAAATTCAAAAATTTTAAGTTGATTGATTCCACTTTAGGAATTTGTTCAATAAAGCTGTTACTAAATATAGATCTGTCAGACAAGAAATCATCAATTTTTTCAGGTAAACAGTATCACAATATTGCATGCTCCAAGCAGGGGTATCAGCATTGTAGCTTTCCTTAGTTTTCCATTAGAGGCTCTTTTTTCTATATCACACTTTTCATGAAAAGTCTAAATGCTGTTATCTGAGTTTTTTACAGTTTTTAAAATCACATACCGGTATACTTTACTGACCTTGAGAGGGAGTGAAGAAATGAGTTCAAGTCATTTTGAGTAAATCCATTCAACCTGAAGTTTCCCTTCCTGATCTGAGGAAAACAACCCTGTAACATATAATAGCAACATTGCTTGTAAACTTTGTATCAGTTTCTAGTAAGTGGATCTATTTCATTCTTGCATATAATCTATTTTCTTGGGAATATACACTCCAGAGCTACAGTTACATCCCTTACAAAAAAATTTAAAAAAATAAAAATGAAAAAAGGTAGATTAAGAAAAATGTTGCGCAGTAGATAAATCACAAATCATCATCTTACATGAGACCTTTAGGGATGAATGAATGTGGCGGGGAGGGGGTATCCCCAAAATGCCTGTTTTTACACAGGAAAAGTGTCCCTTTTTCTTTGTAAGAAGTGCCACTTCCCCTTTAAATAAGTGCCCTATTCACCTCTGATAAGTGCCCCTTTTATTTTGACACCTGCCCCTTTTCTTTCGACAAGTTTCCTGTTTTCTTTGCAATAAGTGTCCATTTAACATTCTCATAAGAGCCCACTTCACCTCTGATAATTGCCCTTATTGAAATCTGATAGATGCCCCTTTTCTTTCAACAAATGCCCCTTTTCCTATATAAATAAGTGCCCATTTTATATTCTCATAAGTGCCGCTTCTCATGTGCGAGAAGTGCCACATTTTCATCTCTGATAATTACCCTTTTACTTTGACACGTGCTCCTTTTCTTTTCTAATAAATGTCTTTATCCCTTTTGATAAGTGTCCCCTTTGCCTTTCACCATAAAATGTGCCCGTAATTTAAAGCAACTAAGGGCACCGTATGTTTCTTATCAAAGGTCTTTTCAGTCTTTCATGATGAGATTGTTCTTATAACCCCATCAGGATGGTTTTTTACTCTTTACAAGATGTAATTTTTCGCACTGCGACCTCACAAATGTCAAAATTTCAAATGAATATTCAGACCATCACACCCAACTGCAAAGTATGATTATTAGCAGTATCTTGTACTATGGAAGGAGAAAAGCATATATTGAAATCATCCCTGATAATTTAATCACAATATAGGAGTATATACCAATGTCTGAAAATAGAATAGTTTTGCTTTGAGATTTCCCCAGTGAGTGCCTTTTTTTGTTCCCCCCTCCCACTTTGGAAGATGCTTCGCCACCCCTGTTGTGGCGGCTCATGCTATAGTGCATATCTGCCATATATGACATGCGATTGGGCTTATTTTAGTGAATTTGGCACGCCAAATTACTTGCTGGAAATATTTTGCATGTTGTTAAACTTGCAAACAGTGATTTGTGGAATTCACAATAGTGAATCCTCACGAAAATAACTACTTCTAAACAGTAATGCAAGGACAATGAGCCTCGGGACAATTACCCCCTAGACAATAACTCCCCCAACACAACTACTCCCATGACAATTACATGTTGCCCCAGGTCAATTAAGGGATGGTGACTAGGGATGACGGGGCTTTCCTCAAGGGAACAGGGTGTGGTGGTATGTGGAGGGGTTCCCACGGAAGAACTTTTTCAATTCAATAAACTTAAATCATACTTTAGCACAATGTAGAAATATTAATTGAAAGTTGCTTTTTTTAACAATTATCTAAAACATGTGCGGAGGAGAAGGGGGAAATAACAGAAAAGGGCAACTTACAGAAGGTGAAAATGAGGTGGAAAAATGCTTTCTAAGACATTAGTATATCCCTACTATATTGTTCTTGAATAGCAGCCCACAACAGCCCATATGTATACCTGCATAGATGATGTCTTTGCTTTCAATGTAGAGTAGAACTCAAGACACACGTCTGATTTTGATCGTAATACATCCATCGGTTCTAATGATAACGCGATCAAAAGCTATTTTTGCATACATAATGAGCCCCATTTGATGGTGACCTTGACCTCATGACCCCAAAATCTAATCAGTTCATTGCCTCAGCAAGATACATACATGTCCTGACTTTCATGGTAATCTGTCCATCTGTTCTTATGATAATGTGATCACAAGCTATTTTTGCATACATATTGAGCCGTGAGCTTTGACCTTTAACCTTGTGACCCCAAACTATAATCAATTAATTGGCTCTGCAAGATACATACATGACCTAAGTAGGTCAGGAATCCATCAATCAGTTCTTGAGATAAAGCGATCACAAGCCTTTTTCGCATATATAATGAGTCCTGTGACCTTTGACCTTTGATCTCGTAACCCCAAAATCTAATCAATTCATTGGCTCCGCAAGTTACATACATGACCAAAGTTTGGTAGGAATCCATCAGACGGTTCTTGAGATAACGCGATAACGAGAGTGGGACGTACGGACGGACGGACAACCCGAAAACATAATGCCTCCGGCTACTTCATAACGGAGGCATTACAATAAAAATAAAATAAAAAAGGGTGACTTGCAGAGAAGAAAAGAAAAGGGGGAGAAGGAGCGTTAGTAATAATACAATAAATCGAATACATCTGCTGAATGAATGCAGGTTCTTTCATGGATGGGTAAACAATGCTTTCACACATTTAAATTTCAACTGAATCAGTACATGTGTAGTTTGCTTTAATTCATTGTTCCAATATACCAAGTGAATGGCCTTTTAAAAAGGGTGTTTGGAGAAAAAAACATATATACATGTGCACTTTACAACTATTACTGCCGTTTCTTTCTTGCAATGACCCTCCATGACATGTACATTAGGACACACATACCTGTATGGATGATGCCTTTGCTTTCAATGTAGAGTAGAACTCCTCATTGAGATGCATACCAAGTGTCAGGTCAGTCAGGTTGGGCATAGAACACAGTGCTTCTACTAGGAGAGGTAATGAGGCTGGTGTGGGACACAGGAGACCATCAAGCTTGACAGTCTGGACCTGCATTGTTTATGAATATATTTAAGCATCACGTCTATTCATCCATATGTTTTACTCACTAATTTCTGACTGTATTCTAACATTTCACCCGAATTCCATTAATTACATAGTTGTATTCATAATAACATTCTCAACAAAAATGATTGAATAGATTTTATTTTCAAATTCAATTCTTGTCTACTAAGAAAAAGAATACACTAAAGTTTCTATGGAGAGGATTATTTAGTAAAGGTAATTTATTTTTAAATTCCTTATGTATTCTTTATAGGGCTTCCAACCTGTTTGCATTAATGAGTCCTACTCCTACTTACACTGAAATGTATAATACCAATAGATATGCATTTGCTATTAATGTATTAAAGGTATTCATAACTCTGGATTTCATATGCACAAGACCCTTAAAGTCAGGAGGTTTGTTGCCATGGTTCAGTTTGGTTAATTCAAGCCTCTATAAAGAATGGCTCCTAAAAAACTATATGACATATTTTTACTACCAATCAAACTTGGAAAAGGTTGAATTTTGATTATTAGTCAAATAAATGTCAATCTTAGACACACTTGAATTTCAACTGAATCAGTACATGTGTAGTTTGCTTTATTCCATGTTTCATAACTGTTCCAAAGGGTGATTGGCGAAATTAATAAAAATAAATAAAGTGGTCTATACATGTGAACCATATAACTATTACTGCTGTTTCTGTCGATCAACGAACCTCCATGACATTTACATTAGGACACACATACCTGTATGGATGATGCCTTTGCTTTCAATGCAGAGTAGAACTCCTCATGGAGAACCCATCCAAGTGTCAGGTCAGTCAGGTTGGGCATAGAACATAGTGCTTCTGCTAGGAGATACGATGAGGCTACTGTGGGACACCGGAGATAATCAAGCTTGACAGTCTGGACCTGCATTGTTTGTCAATATATTTAAGCATCACGTCTATACATGCATATGTTATATTTACTAATTTCTGTCTGTATTCTTACATTTTATACTGTGAGGATCTTATTCAAATTAGGTAGTTCTTTGTGAGCCCATGTAAGTTATACGAGGATCATATGCAAATTAGATGTTCTTTTGTGAGCCCATATAAGTTATGCGAGGATCGTATGCAAATTAGATGTTCTTTGTGAGCCCAGTTATGAACAGGTGCTTAATGTAGATTTCCACTTCACTAGATGAATAGCTAAGTGTATTCAAGTGTACACAATATCTAGGTTCTGTCAGGTGTATAGAATTGCAGACTCTTTGTATGACACATTTTCATTTGTGTGTGCTAGTAAAAATGCACATGCAGACTGCTCACTTGGATAATTGATCTTGAAGAGAGAGGTCTGTGTTACAGTTTTGGGGGTATTTCCAAGGAAAGAAACCGGCGGGGTGTGGTGCCATGCAACCCAGTGCACGCTGAGACTGTTCTTCCCTCTTCTCAATGCCGAATTGTAAGTACATTTTTATACATCATTGCATGTAAACCTAGGTCATTTTTATATGCTTAAACAGTCGTTGTTATGGTCATTTAGAGAGGATAATGTGAAGTTGTTTTATTACCGAATGATATGTATTTTGTTTGGCTGAGTCCTTTAAAATATGGACATTTAAAGAGGATAGATATGAAGCTGTTTTATATCCGAATGATATGTATTTTGTGTGTGGCTGAGTCCTTTAAAATATGGACACTTTTGCTAATGTTGGAAACCGATGTAATACAAGTGGTATTGTGCATTTTTGTGTTAATTTTAGGACCTATGCTATTAAGATTCCGGTCTTTTATTAATTTAGACGGCGGTCAACGTACGGGTCAACCTCGGCCATATATATAGTCAACCTTGGACTACGTATACTCGAGCAACCTCGGCTAGGACAGAGTCGGGTGTTTCAAGGTCATTCAAGGGTTATCTTCAACCAGATCAACGGGGCGCATCTCTAGCTTTCCACTGTTCAAGGCAATCACTCGCCGTCGCTACTGGTCAACACACGTTCGTCGTTACAGTCGTCGCATATAGTTTCATCGAAGTATCAACGTTAAATGAACTCAGAGAAGACAAACATTTATTTAAGCTTCATTGAATGCCAGTATCCTATTTACAGATAATTATTATTTTGTAAACGACAATAATATGATGTGTTCTATTTGAGCAAGGATATTTGTAATATCCTCCTTGATTTGAGTTACATTAAATGTTTCATTCAACCAATATTTCTGGAATCCTTTGGTAGTATTATTCAGAGTGGTTAAGTATAGCCTATTCTAGATTAGTGAGCTAATACAAGCGAGCTATCGCACGTGACATATACAAATTCCTCAAATTACATAGTTGTATTCATAATAACATTCTCAACAAAACAATTGAATAGATTGTATTTTCTAATTCAATTCTTGTCTATTGAGAAAAAGAACACACTAATGTTTCTATTGAAAGGATTATTTAGTAAAGGCAATTTTTTTTTAAAATTCCTTATGTATTCTTTATAGGGCTTCCAACCTGTTTGCATGGATAAGTCCTACTCCTACTTACACTGAAATTCATAATACCAATACATATATATTTGCTGTTAATGTATTGAAGGTATTCATGAATCTGGATTTCATATGCACAAGATCCCTAAGTCAAAAGGTTTGTTGCTATGGTTCATTTAGGTAAATTCAAGCCTCTATAAAAAATGGCTCTTAAAAAACTATATGGCATATTTTTACTATCAATCAAACTTGGAAATGGTTGAATTTTTATTATTAGTCAAATCAATGTCAATTTTAGACACACTTGAATTTTAATTAAATCAGTACATGTGTAGTTTGCTTTATTCCATGTTTCATGACTGTTCCAAAGGGTGATTGGAGAAAAAAAGAAATATAAACTGGTATATACATGTGCACCATATAAATATTACTGCTGCTTCTGTCATTCAATGACCCTCCATGACATTAACATTAGGACACACATACCTGTATGGATGATGCCTTTGCTTTCAATGTAGAGAAGAACTCCTCATTGAGAAACCCTCCAAGTGTCAGGTCAGTCAGGTTGGGCATAGAACACAGTGCTTCTGCTAGGAGATGTATTGAGGCTGGTGTGGGACAAAGGAGACTTTCAAGCTGGAGAGTCTGGACCTGCATTGTTTGTCAATATATTTAAGCAGCACATATATACATGCATATGTTATATTTACTAATTTCTGTTTGTATTCTTATATTTTACACAAATTCCTCAAATTACATATAGTTGTATTCATAATAACATTCTAAACAAAATTGATCGAATAGAATTTCTTTACAAATTCAATTCTTGTCTATTGAGAAAAAGAATACAATAAAGTTTCTATGGAGAAGATGATTTAGTAAGAGCGATTTAAAAAAATTCTATACATGTATTCTTTATAGGTCTTCCAACGTGTTTGCATTGATAAGTCCTACTCCTACCATAGACCTACGATACCCATAAATAAACATTTGCTATTAATGTATTTAAGGTATTCATAATTCTGGATTTCAAGAGCACAAGACCTGTCATTCAGAAGGTTTGTTGCTATGGTTCAGTTTGGTCAATTCAAGTCTTAACAACCTAATGAGGCTGGGGTACCGTATTTGAAGTTTTCCTACGACAGGGGGGGGGGGGGGGAGGAATTTCAAGTGAAGTGTATTGAATACTATGGTAATTTCAATTTTTTGAAAATCCACTCATTTGCATATATATGGTAATTCATGCAAATAATATCATAAAATTCACATTTTTACCCCTAAATCATATATTAGTCGTCCTTCGACTATTTGGAATAATAATACAACTAAACTAGATGGATGTTCAACTGCACGCAGTCGAAAATGATACCTCTGCCATACAGCAACAACAAAAGCGATTTAAAAAATTCAAGTTTGATTGTAATCCACCAACAGGTTCTATGTCTCGCTTTTTGCTACGCAGGCGAGACAAAATGGTTGATTTGAATGCTCTGTTACAAAGTTTTATATTAAAGTGGATATTGCACTACTTCTCCCACGAAAAATCAAAGTGGAAAAAGATAATTGATGTTTTCTTTAAAAAAGTGGGCAATTTAAAATATGTGTTAAATAGTAAATGTACAAAAGATGATATGAAGTTCTGTTTAAAGAATATAAAAATGCCCCAATATTACAAGAATATGGTATAAACTTGGTTTGACTTTAAAGGGATAGTAGAACGTAAGACGCCAATTGATTTACAATGTACTAATGTTAGAAGTGAAGACATATGGTATAACTCAAATATAAGAGATCATAACAAAAATGTATTATTTATTAAAAAATGGTTTGATGTAGGCCTTTTGAAAATTAATGATGTCGTACAAAACTCTAGATTTATGTCTTTGAGGGAAATTGAAGAAAAATTTGAGAAAAAACATGCTTCTTTGTTTCAAGAATATTACATCATAGTAAATGCGATTCCCAAAGTTTGGAAACAGAATATTTTAAGACAGGTACATGTATATGATGCGACACAGGAAGAAAATGAAGGTGTCATGAAAAATGTCTCAATGGATGTTAACACTAAACAAAAGTCGAAGTTTTTCTACTTTACGTTGTCTATTCATTCAATTGTTAGACCTCCAATCAAAGAGAAATGGGAAGAAATGTTAAATAGTACCGAACAAATCGACTGGAAAGTCCTATGGTCATTTAATTTACAAGCTATGAAAGAAAAGGAAAAAAAAGAAAAGAAGAGATATTTTGGTCAGCCTTCGCGCATAGTGCGAGTCTTCGGGCTGGTGAAGACGCACTGGACAAATAGCTGGATATTTTGCCAAATAGCAGCTTATTTTGCAAACTAGCCCAAGAAATCTTGGGATGATTATCTCGACTTAATATCCCGCTAATTGCAACTTTGGGCTGATGAAGACGTAAATTAACTGGATAATTTGCGATCGGGATATTAAAAAATAACGGGATATTTGGCAATCTGGAGCTGATGTAGACAGACCTACATATATGTTTAGATTATAGCAGTTCTTCTCATAAACAAACTAGAATGATATTGAAGATATGCTTCTGATATTAGGGAGACCTTTAACACAATAAATAAACGTCACTGGTAGTACTTCAAGTTAAAGGTACTATGTCCCATTTACAGGCCCAAAAAATGAAAAGGTTAAATTTCAACAGCATTTGAAAGTCAATACTTATTTAGAAATTCCCTCAAAACAAAAGGGCTTGAAGAATTGCCTTTTTGACATAAAATAATGACCATTAGTTGTCGAATCGACATAAGCGATTGAAATAACCTAAGTAATAGTCCGATTTTCAGACCCTTGTCCCGAATGGTCGTACGTTTTGTGCTGCACAAAGATTCAATCAGTTTAATTTTGGCCATTACAAGTAGTGGGTTATTGATATAGACAAACGCTCATGTACCTGTTACAGCTCATTTTATGTATATGTTATTACCAAAGAAAAAAAGATGTCAGTCACTCACACAACAGTGTCTGACAGTGAAGTCTAGAAAGTAAACAAGTTTCCTTGCATAATTTGAATACTAGGACACTGCTAATGTTTAAATTTTACAGATAGGACATACACCCTGTACATGACAAATTCATAATTCCTGCACAGTTCTACAGAATTTGATGTTGGCTGCAAAAGCTGACATAGTATCTTTAAAGGGGAAGTCCATCCTGATATTACGTTGGTTTCAATAGAAGCAGATCTAGACAATAAAGGGAACAGGTCAGTGAAAGTTTGAGCAAATTCCGGTTCAAATAAGAACATTATGAATTTTTTGAAATTGCGATCAATCAAACACAAATTGTCAACAATGTGACGTATCTTGTGAGCCCGCCCCCCCCCCTCCAATATGCTCTTTGTTATTGATGACGGATTATATATTTTTGTCCATACATATTTGAAATATGGGTGCATGTATGATTGAAAATTTACTAGAGGAAATAAAAATATTTCAATTTTCTTACAAGAGACATCACAGATTTGCAAATATGTGTTTCACTGATGACAACATAATAAATTCATAACTTTAGTATCTTTAATCTGATATTACTCAAACTTTCACTAATTTTTCCCTCTTATTTATCTGCTGTTATTCAGACCAAGTTAATATCAGGGTGGACTTCCCCGTTAAGTACATGTACGTTGTGATCTTCCACGGTTTGCACGGTTATAGTATTCACACTTAAATGTTTTTTTCAAGACTGCTGCTGCCTTAGTGAAAAGAACCAGCATATACATATATGAGACATTAAAAGGAATTAAAGAAAAGTAAAATGTATATTAGAAAAGGGAAGAGATGATAATGGAATGGAATGAAATTAAATAAAAACACTCACACATACATGTACATCACAATTGTGGATGAACCGCTCACCTTTGATTCTTTTCCTTTCCTTGCAAGTGTTTCAAAAAAACAATGATGGAATGCACTTTGTAGAGAAACTTCCTTCAAAGATGGCATGGAGCATATTATCTCTGCCACATCCAGTGACGTAGTAGGTCCACAATTTCTCTTAATATAGAGGGTAACCTGGATAAAATGACAAAGTGGTTACTGATGGGATGCAAAATAGAGATGTTCTCTTGGATGTTAGGCATACATGTGTATTACCTACATAAGCGGTTGCCCTAAATGTGCTGCAAGAAATACACAGATTAAGAGGGAAAAGGAAATAAATAAGATGGTTTGTTGACAAAACAGGAGATAGCTGAATATGTTGTTTTCAGGCGCGGATCCAGGATTTCTTAGGGGTGGGGGCCCAAATTTGAAATCAATTTGAAATTTAGTGTGCTGAAATATGAAAATCGTGCCGGCCAATATTTCGTTCAGTGGGGAGGGGGGGGGGGGGGGGGGGGGGGGGGGGGGGGGGGGGTAGTGAGAACAATTTTTTTTTTTTTTTTTTTGCTCCAAAAAATTTGAAAATCGCGCTGTCCGAAAATTCCCTTGGTGGGGGGGGGGGGGGGTTTTGGCTCTCGAAAACTTGCAACCCCCCCCCTTGAGCGCCAAGAGGGGGGGGGGGCCATCTCCAAAAAAAGTTAAAATTAACGTTAAAAAATGTAAAAATACACATTTTTTTCCCGGGGGGGGGGGGGGGCCGGGCCGGGCCCCCCCCCCCCCTGGATCCGCCACTGGTTGTTTTAGTTAGCCAGGAAATGTCAGAAGATAAGTTAGCCAGGAAATGCCAGGAAATGTTAGAAGTAAGTTTATCTTTAAAATATCATGCTTTTCATTTGTGGTGATTTAAGAATGTGTTTTGGTCAGGTTGTTGAAGAAAAATGATATTACATAATCAATGTGTACCGAGTACGGTGTATAAATTGCTATGCACAAAACTGTATAGTATAGTATATGTATATGTATATATAGTGATAGGGTCTACGTTGTATGAGTTACATTGGAAGTCTTATTTCTTTTAGAAATGACAATGCGCATAACATACAGACGCGATGTTAAATATCGCTTCATCTATGTAGATATGTTTAATACAATGTATTCAGGTGCTTTAATACATTATTTAAGCTGGCTTATTGTTGGCCATTTAGAGTGGTAGTTTTAGTGAGAAAGTTGAGTTAGTAAATACATTCCTGGTTTTGATTCCTTAACTTCAGTGATCCATAAGGGTACAGGCTTAAGAGCTATTGCCATGACATTTCATATCAAATTCCTATTTCTGCGACATTAGCAACATCTCATCTCAGTTTACCATGTACTAAACAGAGAATCCTTAAACTAAATAAAAGGAGAGTATAAGTCTAAAACATATTGTTTCAAAGGAGATTATTTAAGTTCACACCATCTGGTGCCTCATACCTTAATCATTTTATAAATGTTAATAGGAATACGATCACTGAATTAAAAGGGTGGATATGGAGCAAAAATCTAGTCTCGCAAAGGAGAAAAGAAGTAAAATGTGGATGCCCCCTGCATCAGCACATACATGTATTCAGTCTTTTTCAATTCAAATGACCATTTATTTTCTTCCAAATCAATTTGACAACATATTTGACATCTGTTCAAACAATATAATTTATACGTAGGAACATAAATATAATCAAAGAACTTGTATTACAAGGAAGAAGGCGCGAATCCCGATAAGCAAAGCTTGTAATGGGTACGCCTGAATACACAAATATATAATACCGGTATACATTATAAATAGAAGAAAGAAAGCAAGGAAGAAAGAAATAGGCAAGGAGGAGAGGAGAATAGAGAGCTTGGAGAAAGAGAAAAGAAGTGGACTGCGACCAAGTCTCAGAATACACGGAGGCAATTGGCGATTCTCCCCCCAATTGAGCTACATGATCGCCTCCGCCAGATTGCTCAAGGGGGCGATTGCAAAATTTAAAATCGCCCCCTTGAATTAAAAATAAAGATTATTTTTTCTGTAACTTTCACACAATATTGAGTTTCAACTTTCGAACCTTAAACCAATGAAATTGGTGTGCACGCTGCCACCCCATCATCTGCTAAAGCTAGAGGCAATTGCGCAAGGACTGAACCATGAAGAAGTTTTTCGTGTGAAAAGCGTGAATCCTCTGAAATCTGGTAATTCCAAAAGACCAGAAAATAATGAACCTCGGCCAGCAAATCAACCGAAAACTAAAATTAGTAAAGGGAAACCTGTTGGCATGGAGGCGACTGTATGGGCTTGAACGAGACATTTCGTACAGTGGGAGGAGCTCTTACCATTAGCTGCATGTAACTTGATAAGTTGTTAGAGGGAAAATGCTGACTTAAATAAATAATAATGATGAAATAGCAAAGAATTTAGGAGTATCATGGGTACCAATTCAATGGAAATTTGATTAAAAAAGAGCCCCCGTGTGAAGGCTCTCGGGGGCTCTTTTCTTTTTGGAAGAGCCCCCATGGAAAAAAAAATTTAATTTGAGCCCCGACTGCGACATAGCAGCAATGGAGTGTATGGCATGCATAAACAACATAAAGGCAAGATATAGGTAAAGGGTATACCGTAATGTGGAAATATTTGACTTTGAGATTATTAAACAGAATATGCAAATACCACGGGTTAAAGTGAAACAGAAGATGAATTGAACTACAGTAATCAAATACATGTACTGTACATGTATGTTAAGAGTTGCAATATCAGTAACCCCAATTATACACAGGGCCAGGAATATCAAACAGATTCCTTTGTGCCCTGTTAAACAATTGTAAACCAAAAATTGGGATTTCACTTAGTCATGGGCAAGAGATATTTTGTTGGAAGGGATGAAAATGTGCAAACTATTGATAAAGTTCCCTTTTCCCAAATTTTATCTCATCTAAAAGGTAAAGATGCACTATACCGTGTGAGTCAAAAAAAAGTTTACACCTAGAAAATTGCTAATTATTTAAAAATTCATCTATGAACAGTAAATTATTATACATCTTATGAAAGAGTGTTTTATCCCAAATCATATGGTATCATTTTTGTGTTGTATGTGTTCACGCTTGGATGAACACGAGGCATTGTTTGTGAGAGTGCAAAAATCGACTTGCGCCAAAGTGATGCGTACAGTATGTATTATGTTAGGATTAGTGGAGTGAGAGAATGAATTAAATGTATCAAATGAAATGCATTGCATACACTTTTTGCAAAGTGCAAAGTCACACCACCCACACACACGCGCACAAATGTTCGTTGATATTTGATATTCGATATTTGATATGTGTGGCATGATTAATTTTGTTGGGGATGTTATTTGGATCTGCAAAGACCGAATTAATACCCAAATCCAAATTGTTTTATTCACAATCACATACATGTAAGTAATTTGGCGCAAGTCGATTTTTGCACTTTCGCAAACAATGCCTCGTGTTCATCCAAGCGTGAACACATACCTGACAAAAATGGTACCAAATGATTTGGGATAAAACACTCTTTCATTAGATGTATAATAATTTACTGTTCATAGATGATTTTTAAAATAATTAGCAATTGTCTAGGTGTAAACCTTTTTTTTTGACTCGCTCTGTATGTACGTGCCAGTACATAGCTTCAATGTTATTGTAAATTTGCACGTTCTGAATTTTTTCAAAATTCCTCTTCCACCGACATCAGATTCGTTTTGTGAACGTTATACCTAGGTCTATGAAACTTGGCAAACATGTGTATCAACCTACTTGACAAATACCTGCCAAGCTCGGTAAAATTTCATGACGTAGATCATTACAATGTGTAACATGCTTGTAGGACATTTCCTTGGATGACAATGGGGTCAAAATGACTGCAATGAAGTACCCCTTCAAATGATACCATACACGGTATATGTTCACTCAGAATATTTTGAGTGAATCGAAATTGAAAGCAGGTCACAATTCGGATTACGCGGGGTTTCTGCCCAACTGTAACACGTATCGGCTATGCATGACATCAATTTTCAGAGTGATTTTTGCCCCTTTTACCCCATTTTTTTCTTTATCTTGAAATTTTGCAAGTGTATTCTGAGTGGCACACCTCAGGGCATCTCATACCCCGATTTTGAAAATCTGCAGAGTAGAACGTCTTAGCTGCCATTTCATATTCTGCATTATAATGTATCGCACTACATGCATCACGTATTAGTTTTAAGCATGTAAGTCCATATAGGCCAAAGTGTATGGAAACCATACGTGTGTTATGACGTGTTACTGGTATTTACATCTGCTCAAGGAAATAGAAATGCGGGCATCAATGCATGCATATCGTTATACAATTGTAGAGAAAAGAGAAGAGAAAATTGGTTGGTATAAGGGGCCATGCAGAGAATAGGACATGTGCTAGTCGAGATGCACCCATCCATAATTATACTGTTGTACGTACTGTAAGCAAACTGCAAAAGACATTAAAGTAAGAACTTGTACAAAAATGGATGAACTAATTATGTTCATCAAAGTGTGATTAAACTTACCACATGTGGTCCAATGAAAGCATAACCAGCTACAGTGTGTGCTGTCATGCCATCGGATATGGTCAGTGCAATTTCCTTTGATGAAACCCTGTCCTTCACCAAGGCTGCTACATCTGGGTCCCGACTCTCAAAGGCTACATCAACAATGAAAGATAATTCTTTACCTGCATCTGTGGGTAGCTGAACCCAACAGGGATCACCAACAAGGATAGGTGACTCTCTACCTACATCTATGTCAAGTCCCTGAAGCATAGAGTTCAGAACGTGAGTTGCAATACTTTTGTTTTGTGACACAGTGAAGTATAGGAGATACCTAAACTCCTCCTTTCTTGGCAGCACTACTTCCTCAATCAGCATGTTGAATTCATTACGATCAGATTCATACAGGGAAGCAAGATGGACTCCAGCCATGTACTCCTGAAAAAGTTTGTGAGGGAAGAAGACTGGCAATTGCACATGAGAATTCCTCTTATGTATGTCCATGCTAGTGGTAATTCTGTCCTCCTGAGACATAATCCCAACCCGACAGGCAGTGTCCTTGGATTCTGGGCATTTTTGGAAATCTTCTTCATCGAAAATCAAGGTATTTTCTAGCAGACCATTGAGGGCCTGCTTGGCAATCGGTCCAAGGAGCTCATCAATTTTTTTCAAATAAGAAAGAAGTGAGGGGCTGCCTACTTTCTTCACCATTTTCTGAGCATAGTGTTCTTTTAGAAAGGCAATCATTTCTTTGAATATCTGTGAAAAAGATTTCAGGGATTTAATTTCCTTTAGTTTTTGAGCATCAAGTTCTTTCCACATAAGACACAACATGGCTACATATATAGGATAGTGGGCCATGTTTTCAGATATGACATCATTCTCACTGGTGAACTGGATAAGCTGATTTGCTTTATCTTTATTATCATTCTTTGGAAAGTATTTGTGAATGTAATCTGACAAATTCTCTCTGTTGAAACCCTCAACACGAATGAATGTGTAGAGCTTCATTAGATCACCATCTGATCTAATCTCTACTGCTCTCCATGGGCGAGTGGTCACCAAGACTGGGCAAGAGGCAAGTTGATCTGAACAAAGAATATCTACAAGTCCAATATCACCAGGCTCAGATGAGCTGCCACATGCCACTGAGGAGGTGACACTTGGCTGTGATGGCTGAAGTTGCATTTGATCAGAAGGCTGTGTTCTGCAAGATTTTGTCTTCATGATTTTGCCTTTGATTTCATCTAGCCCATCGAATGCGATGAATACCTTGTCAGGATTTGACCTGATATACTCAGTAATCTGAGAAACCGTTGCTGGATTGTTTTTGGCCAGATAAGACTTGGCAATCTCGCCAATAGTGTGTTGCTTAAATTCACGTAGAGGAACAATCAAGACCCACACAAAATGACTGAAATGCCTCGCTCCAATCCAGTCCCAGGCAATCTTAGCACAGAATGTAGTTTTTCCAGCCCCTGCCTCTCCCAGAACCATGATCCGCTTGGGGAACTCTCCATTGACTTTCAGATCAAGCATATCATTGTAATCTAGCACTCGCTTCTTTGTTCCATGTTCTTCTAGTAAGACGAGATTAGTATACAAGTCGTCAAACTGCACAGTGGAAGCAGGATTGAGAGGATCAGCTCTGATCTTACAGAGAGTTGACCTATACTTGAACTTGAAATCATTTGCACAGCGCTCAACTAGTTCAGAAGAAAGTGGTTTGGTTTGAGACTCAGCTAAAGAAGGTTTGGTCTGTGAATCGAGCAGTCTTGATGGCCCTCCTAAAAATAAAAATACATATTCATATGACTACACGTAAACATATTTTGATACATCTGAAAGGATTGTAAAGGCCTGAGGCTAATAGTGTGACATACGACTAGGTGCATGTAGTCAAAGACACAGAGTCCTACATGTTTGTCTGAATTAAAATGAATTCATTCAATTTTAAGGGCATTTAGAATCTGACTAATTTGTGTATACATGTATATGTACTTGTAGATGAATATCACTGGAATTATTTTTCCTAGGACATTTCAGCAATGCAGAGGTTCCGTGACAATCACACATCTTATTTTGAGAAGAAAAAAAAAACAAGACAAATATGATTACATCTCCAGTATGCCTCTGCGTAAATTCAGTTAAATGATCAGGGCTTGAATCAATCTCTAAATGAGAACAAAAAGCCTATATATACATGTTGATTGATCTTTACAACCTATGACCGTTGATCTGACAACCCAACATCGGATTACTTGTCTCCCTATGGTGACGCATACCATTTGAAGTGTTTTTTAATAATTTTCAGCTAAAATAGCTTTAAAGTATGTAGTTTTGCTGACTTTTGACCTTCTTAACCCAAAATATAAACAGTTTGTCTCAGTATGGTGATGCATACTAATGCCAAATTTGAAATTCATGGCTCAAACCGTTCTTGAGACATTTCAATAATGGAGCTAAAACCCTAAAAATTAATTAAATTTGACCCTCATGGCCCTTGGCCATTGAAAATTATCCCAAAATCTAATCACTCCATCTCACTTTGGTGATGCATGATATCACCACGTTTGAAGTTCACACCTCAAGTGGTTCTTGACATATCATGAGGCTAAAACCAGTAATTTCACAAAATTACCTCTTTGATCCACTAACACCCAAATCTAATCAAGATTATCTGCCTATGGTTATACATACTATCAACAAGTTTGAAGTTCATACCTCAAGTGGTTCTTGAGATATTGCAATAGCAAAAAGTAGGACGAATGGACAGACAACCCCAAAACATATTTTCTCCGGCACCACCTTTGGTGGGTGGATGCATAATAACAGTTATCATAATGGGATGACGCAAAATAATATATTTTGTTTATAGAACATGTGCATATAAAGAAAGCTGGCATACATTGAATTCTGCTATCACTAAAAGTACTTAAACTATATTGGTTTCCACTATCCAGAAAATATCTGGGATTAACAAAGTTAAATTAGTGAATTATAAAACATGCATGAGGCCTGATAAAATTTGACACTATTCTGTAAATTGTGACAAATGTATAGTACATGGAGCACTCACTGAGTAATCTGTCCGATAAGCCACCCAGGTCAATCTCTCGAAGTGCGTCTGCCAAAAGCTGTCGTCTGTTCGAATGTGGAGGTTGCTGCTTGACCTTCCAGTTCATGAATACGCTCAAAAATGCATTGGTATAGTTGTTTGACTTCTGAATCAGGATTGCCTGTAGCTGAGCTAAGGGGATCTCTAGAGATATCCCGACAGCCTCGTAGTAAGATGGAGGGATAGCCTGGGCCAGCTTCAGGAACTCCTTTTCACTGACAGTACTGTAAAATGAATAATAAATCAATTGGGAACGATAGGATATTAGTTAGAGAGCATCCTATTGGCTGAGAAGCTATCACATGACACTTAACAATTTGTGCTCGAGCGTGCAATATAACAGCCTGGGGATGTCAGAATTAGTTGCCAGTGATATTAACATTTGAAACAAGTTGCCTCAAGTTGCAGGTGAGGGCGGTATTGTTCTGGCAAGGATAATCATTCCCAAAAAATGCAGAGTCTGGCAATAAATACAATAATGATGGTGATAGTAATAATATTAATATAAGGAGAGAAGGATTATTACAACTTTTAATAATAATAATAATAATAATAATGTTTACATTATAACTGATACTAGAATGGATGATGATGATAATGATAATTATTATAATTATCATTATCATCATCATCATTATCTGTATCAAGCAAAGTCTATGTAATCAGCTTACTTTGAATCATCAGGTCATCGCGTCGGGTTGGGTGGTGGAGTTAGCTGACCTTTTGTGAAAACATGCCTCTTTTATTCACAAAATGTCGGAGGCTAATGTGAAATAAACCCCTCTCATGTTTAAATGGTCAGGTCTAATTTACTCAACACTTTGTGAAAACCCTACAGCAAATCTACGAAAGATTGCATCCTGAACGTTCATCTTTACATGATCTTTTGTTTCATGAAAGGTTGTGTAACACAACCACCCGAATGGACGCGACGACCCGATGAAACGAAGTAAGCCAGTATATGCATACCTTTCTGCAGTGTCAGGACCTGGATTGGTTTCAACATCACCAGATCTCATCAAGAGGATCAGGAGCAGATAGAGAAGGCAGAATCCATCCATGGTGTAAGATGTCGTTCTCATTCAACAGAAGTTTAGTTCTCTGGAAAGTGGGGATGCCATAGGCAGCAATACCTGGAAATAATATTAAAAAATATCTACATTACGTACATAAAATATCTCTATCTAATAACAGGCTTAAGATTTAAGGCTTAATAGCTTAAGGTTTAGGATAGAATACTATGATTTTGTGATTTTTTTTTTTTTAAGTCGTCAATCAACACGCCCAGGTTTTTTTTCACCACGCAAAATGAGCATCATTGTATTCTTTTTATTATTGAATTCCTCCGGCTGGTGAAGAACTACATGCATGAGCACAGGGTATCAGCTAACAATAGCCCTGTCGGGGATAGTCTTTAGAAAAGAAACACAAGAAGAATGAAAAATGGAAATAAAGCATAAATAGATCTTGGATATACATGTACATGTAAGTGCAGATTGACTCAGCCAATGTCAGAATCAGGGATAAAAATCATCTTCCCTAGATGAGATCTGTGAGGGCAGCAGACATCAAATCAGGTGTCAGAGGGAGAAGCCTCTCCTGGATGGGTAGTGGGTAGGCTGGTAATAAATGGCGACCTCGCGGTGAAGTAGAGAGGGCATTCCCTAATTAAGTGCGTGACTGCATGTACATGTACTCTTGCGAGAATCCACATAAATAGGGGCTTTTTTGTTTGTGTGGACGAGGCTGCTGTCAACCCGTTCTGTTCACTATAGTTTTCAATTGCTCCTTCTTTCATTTGTTATGTTATTCTTCGTTTATTATTCTATCATTTTTGAGATCTTTTGTTATGTTATTCTTTGTTTTCCTTCTATCAATTTCTCTTTCTGTTTTTCTTATGTTAGACTTATGATAGACTCTGTTTTTCAATCTTTCATCTTCTCTTCTATCTTTTCATTATCTATACTTAATCGTTTTCTCTTTCTGTCTTTCCTTGTGTTATCCTGTTTCTTCCTTCTATTCTTATGTTATTCTTTGTTTTTATCGTTCTATCATTTTTTTTTCCCTACCAATCCTTGTTATTCTTTGGTTTTCCATCTGTCATCTTCTCTTCTACATGTATCTTTCCATTATCTTTTCTTCATAATATTTCTTTCTGTCTTTCCTTTAATATGTTATTCTTTGTATCTTACTTTTTTTTACCTTCTTTTATGTTTTTGTTTTCATTATTCTTTGCTTTTTCCTTCTCAAAAATTATTCTGTTTTTATCATTCTATCAGTTTCTCTTTCTGTCTTTCCTTATGTTATTTTTTGTTTCTTCCTTCTATCACCTTTTCTTATCTTATCTTATCCTTTTTTTAAAAACATTTTATTACTTTCTCTTTCTGTCTTTCATTATGTTATTCTTTGTTTCTTTCTTCTATCCCATTCTCTTTCTGTCTTTCCTCATGTTACTCTTTGTTTGTTATTCTATCACCTTCACTTATGTTATTCTTTGTTTTTCCATCTGTCATCTTCTCTTTTCATTATCTATTCTTTATCATTTTCTCTTTCTGTCTTTCCTAATGTTATTGTTTGTTTCTTCCTTCTATTCTTATGTTATTCTTTGTTTTTTATTATTCTTTGTTTCTTCCTTCTATCACCTTTTCTTATATAATTCTTTGTTTTTATCATTCTATCACTTTTCTCCTTCTGTCTTTCCTTCTGTTATTCTTTGTTTTTTCCTTTGGTGGTTGGAAAAAAGTGGTTGTTGGTTGTTTGTTGTTAGACGCCACAAAGAAGTTGCAATTTGAGAGTGATGGCATGTTGTTGGAGGGGTGAGTAGGCAATTGATGGTAAAAGATAGGCACAGAGTGCAGAGTGCGCTAGGTGACATAAGCAATTGGAGCGTTTTAAATATCTAATTCACCTTTCGTACAGAGCCAAGGGGGAAAGATCTTTACATCTACAGAGCTACCAAGTGTCATGCATTATGCAAGACAGTCACGCATTGAGGGTCTGAAAACGCTGTCAGGCATGGCAACCATTTTTGTCACGTGTCAGGGCCAGACTGGGAAGAAAAGAAAAAAAGGTAGTAATTGCTAGACTACGTACTGGCCGACCGTCTCGCGAGGCCTCAGCTAGCTCCTCGCAGGGTTCGTTTACGTATATTGCGTGCACGTAGCATGCATGCAGACTGGCTATCACGTCACGTCATGTCTCGCACGTGCACGATTTCGAAACGTACACTATACGCTATACCCTTGCCCTCGTGCGCCGAGCGGTGAAAATGTCATGCATAGCTGATCTTTGAACTTGGCATCTATATATATCTGCATCAAGTGCAAGAATTTTGTTGAAACATTACACTATACAGACTTAGAAAAAGGAAGACAAGAATTAAATTAACATCGAAGCAATGTGTTCATTACACACCGACACTGTATGTCACACCTCGTGAGATCAAAATTATTGGAAAAGGTAGATGGACCTTGGGCTTGGAAGATCGATAGACCTGGCCTGAAATCTCGACTGTAGATTTCTGCAATTTGTACATCCGGTAATCAGGTTATAAGATAAAGGGGGTAGAAAATGAGATCAATGCCATCAATACGCATTACATTACCACTAATCACTGCGTTGGTGTGCGGACACGTAAATGTACGTACCCAATTCCAACCCCATCATACCACCACTACACCAGGGAGATCTCCCCGAGGCCTGAATCATTACATTAGTGAATCATGAATGCCTGATTAATGATAGTGATACAACTAGACCTAACATTTTTTATCCGAAATAGACTGACCTTGTTTTAGTCTCATCAGGTTTGCAAAGACATCATGTCGTCGTCTTCAATCTAGACTCTAAATCTACTGCTGAAGAAACATCGGATCTTAAAAAAACGTGCTGAATCGAACCCGGAAGCGAGATGGTGCGGAGCGGCAGTGCAGTACCAGGTAAGTGCACATTTCTGGCAGAAAAATGGCGAATGGGTGAGTCGCGCGGGATAATAGGGACAAATATAGAAACTGAGCGAATGAAGGGGGGAATCCCCGGCTGCGCGTTTTCTTCTATCTGAACTACGTTCGCGCGGGGTACAGTGTTGGTGTTGACAGTAGACCTTTTGAGGGATTGGTCGACCACGGCATCGCTACAAGGACACGATCAAGCGGAGGCAAATTGAAATCAAGACTTAGACAACTGCTGCAGGCCAGCGAGATGTGGAGAACATAGAGTAAAGTAAAGCACTGTAAAGTGAAAATGAAGGCGGTCACAGACAGCTACTACAGACCTTTTGTAAGATTTTTTTTTTTTTTTTTTTTTTTTTAATAATTTAAAATAAAAATCAACGACATCGCATATTTACAATAATCAATAAAGTAAATGGATGTATACAGAACACGGTAGTCGGGTACAACACAGGACAACCAGGGCATTCTCACCTCCCTGATATCATGTAAGAAAACCGAGACTGGACTCGTCAAGGAGATCCTCCACTGAAATACAGTAATGTTAACAATAGAATAACATAATTGACAATAAGGAAGTATACAGTTTATTAAATACCAAGGGACCGAAATTCCACAAGGAAAAAATGACCATTTACTAGTGGCAGCTATTTACCTTTCTTCTCCGCTTTTTTTTAAATTCAAGTTTCATTTTTACAAAAGAAAGAAAGCTCTGGAAATTTTAGGTCTACCTCTTAACATTTACATCGAATGATATAAAATTTGAGTCGCAGGAATAAAAGATTAATATAAATATCATGACTGCCACCACTACCAAATTATGAGCGAACCCAAAGTACAGCGTTGTCTCCTTCGTCATATTATCAATATAATCTGTAAGCTTTTTCCATATTGGAGCAACTACGTACTGTGCATTAACTGTAAGAAAGCTACAAGGGGAATCGCATTGACTGATATATATTCTTGAAACAAATCTTTTTTTAAATATCTAGAGTCTTATATACGATATCATTAATTTGCAAAAGGCCGCGCGGAATATTACCCCTCCCCCTCCCCGAGGATAATTACCAGCACACCCCTGAAAAATACCCCCTAGGACAACCCCCCCCCCCTCTACTCTGATATTAATTTGGTTTTAATAAAAGCACAATTTTTACGGGGGTGATTGTCCACGGGGGTAATTGTCCTCGGGGGTGGGGGAGGGGTGGTTGTACTTGGGGAGTAATTTTTCCGCGGAGTATGGTCCTTGGGAGTTGTCTTCCGGGGCTAATTTTCCGGGGAGTTGTACTCCTTGAGGGTAATTTTCAAGGGGGCGATTGTCCTGGGAAAAAATAGTGCTTACCCCCCCCCCCCCGCTTATTCACCAGCTGGTTGATATTCCCCGCCAACTATTTTCTCACGAATTGGGCAAAACAAAATAAAAAGTAGTGCTCCTTACCCCCCCCCCCCCCCCATCCTCCCGCTTATTCACCAGCTGTCAGATATTCGCCTCTAAATAATTGTCACGAATTGGTGACATAAAAATACTGCTCCTTATCCCCCTTACCCCCGCCCAGGCGCGACGGAAGCAGTTTGGGATTGGGGGGGGGGGGACATTCCAGGGAGCTCACCTTCCAGAGACAGTGGCGTAACGAGCAAAAACGTTTGGAAGGAGGGGGAGGGGGCAGAAGAACAATCTGCATCACCACCACTCTTACATTTTACATGCAGGCCCTGCGGAACTTTTTTCAAAGTGGAGTATTACAGATCAGGTAGAGCGTAAATTGGCGTGGGGTCATGGGCCTGAGCCCAGGCAAGGGATCAAGGGGCTGAGCCCCCGGAAGCTCAGGGCTTTTAGGTATTAAATAACGGTCAGATAAGCATATTTAGATACCTAATATGTGACACTGGCAGGTCACTAATTGCGGGGAGTCCAGGGGGCAGAGCCCCCAAAAGATCAGATGTTTTAGGTATTTAATTACGGTTAGATGAGCATCCAGGGTCCCTCTTTAAGGCCACTATGGTCCGGGGGTAGAGCCCCCTGTAGCTCAGAGCTTTTAGATATTTAACTACGGTCAGATAAGCATCCAGGGGCCTGCCTTAGTAGCGACCCTCTTCTCCTATTATGAATACCGACCCTCTTCTTTGATTATGAATAGCGGTCCTTCTGAATAATGACCCTTATGAATAATGACCCTTTTCTCCAATTATGAAAAGCAGACCTTATGAATAGCGGTCCTTATGAATAGTACACCTTATGAATAGCGGACCTTATGAATAGCGGGTCAATGTCGCATTTCATAAGGACCGCTATTCATAAGGACCGCTATTCATAAGGTCCGCTTTTCATAATTGGAGAAAAGGGTCATTATTCATAAGGGTCATTATTCAGAAGGACCGCTATTCATAATCAAATAAGAGGGTCGGTATTCATAATAGGAGAAGAGGGTCGCTATTCATAAGGGTCCCTATTCATAATATTACAAAAGGGTCGGTATTCATAACACAGAAAGAGGGTCGCTATTCATAATATGAAATGAGGGTCGCTATTCATAATGGAAAATGAGGGTCGCTATTCATAAGGGTCATTATTCATAAGGGTCATTATTCATAATCAATGAAAAGGGTCGCTATTCATAATACGAAATGAGGGTCGCTATTCATAATAGGAGAAGAGGGTCGCTATTCATAATAGGAGAAGAGGGTCGCTATTCATAATACGACATGAGGGTCGCTATTCATAATAGGAGAAGAGGGTCGCTATTCATAATAGGAGAAGAGGGTCGCTATTCATAATAGGAGTAGGGGGTCGCTATTCATAAAAGGAGAAGACGGTCGCTATTCATAATACGACATGAGGGTCGCTATTCATAATAAGAGAAGAGGGTTGCTATTCATAATAGGAGAAGAGGGTTGCTATTCATAATAGGAGAAGAGGGTTGCTATTCATAATAGGACATGAGGGTCGCTATTTATAATAGGAGAAGAGGGTCGCTATTCATAATAGGAAATGAGGGTCGCTATTCATAATACGACATGAGGGTCGCTATCCATAATAATATCTTTAAAAAGAGACAACTATTCAGGGTTACATGACGCCCCCCCCCCCCCTACAGGACCAGGAACGTAGCCACGGGGGGGGGGGGGGCAACAATTAAGAATAGCGATCCTATACTTCTATCATGAATAGCGAACCTCATTTCTTTTTATGAATATCGACCTTCTTTTCGTATTATGAATAGCGACCCTCTTCTCCTATTATGAATAGCGAACCTCATTTTGTATTATGAATATCGACACCTTACTCCTATTATGAATAGCGTCCCTCTTCACCTATTATGAATAGCGACCCTCTTCTCCTATTATGAATAGCAAACCTCATTTCGTATTATGAATAGCGACCCTCATTTCGTATTATGAATAGCGACCCTCTTCTCTTATTATGAATAGCGACCCTCTTCTCCTATTATGAATAGCAACCCTCTTCTCCTATTATGAATAGCGACCCTCTTCTCCTATTAAGAATAGCGACCCTCTTCTCCTATTATGAATAGCGACCCTCTTCTCCTATTATGAATAGCGACCCTCTTCTCCTATTATGAATAGCGACCCTCTTCTCCTATTATGAATAGCGACCCTCATTTCTTATTATGAATAGCGACCCTCATTTCGTATTATGAATAGCGACCCTCATTTCGTATTATGAATAGCGACCCTCATTTCGTATTATGAATAGCGACCCTCATTTCGTATTATGAATAGCGACCCTCTTCTCCTTTTATGAATAGCGACCCTCTTCTCCTATTATGAATAGCGACCCTCATTTCTTATTATGAATAGCGACCCTCATTTCGTATTATGAATAGCGACCCTCTTCTCCTATTATGAATAGCGACCCTCTTCTCCTATTATGAATAGCGACCCTCATCTCCTATTATGAATAGCGACCCTCTTCTCCTATTATGAATAGCGACCCTCTTCTCCTATTATGAATAGCGACCCTCATTTCTTATTATGAATAGCGACCCTCATTTCGTATTATGAATAGCGACCCTCATTTCGTATTATGAATAGCGACCCTCTTCTCCTTTTATGAATAGCGACCCTCTTCTCCTATTATGAATAGCGACCCTCATTTCTTATTGTGAATAGCGACCCTCATTTCGTATTATGAATAGCGACCCTCTTCTCCTATTATGAATAGCGACCCTCTTCTCCTATTATGAATAGCGACCCTCATTTCTTATTATGAATAGCGACCCTCATTTCGTATTATGAATAGCGACCCTCTTCTCCTATTATGAATAGCGACCCTCTTCTCCTATTATGAATAGCGACCCTCATTTCATATTATGAATAGCGACCCTCTTCCCGTGTTATGAATAGCGACCCTTATAAGTAATGAACCTTATTTCGTATTATGAATAGCGACCCTCTCGTCGTATTATGAATAGTGACCCTGATTTCATATTATGAATAGCGGTCCTTATGATTAATGACCCTTAATATGAATTATGAATAGCGACCCTCATCTCACGTTATGAATAGCGGTCCTTATGATTAACGAACCTTATTTCTTTATGAATAGCGACCCTCTTTTGCCATTATGAATAGCGGACCAGGAAGTACGGGAATTTACACGTTATGAATAACGGTCCTTATGAATAGCAGACCTTATGAATAGCGGTCCTTATGAATAGCGAATAGACCCCGCACAGTTAACCATGCCCAAAACCTCGAAGGGAATTAGATCGTCGTGCCTTGGCTAAAGGGCTAAATTTGACCAGGGAACTATCTCTTGCCCTTTTTTTATAATTTAGTGAGCGATCGGAGAGGGCTACGATTTTTAGGTTTAACCGCTCGTATCACATTGGGTACCATAATTATAGATGCACACTACAGTATATTAGGCACGATATTTATTCATTTAAGCAAATTAAAGACCCACCTTTTTCATCCTCATATCAAACTTAAATCTTCTCTGTTTCATATAAGATCAAGAATAGCATACTAGGTATAGGAGACGTACAGGCAGTATAAATATTAAGTTGTAAAAATGTGTATTATTTCTTGTTCCGTACATGGATTCTCGGTATGATATCGACTATGGAATACGTGTCATCATCATTATTAGTAATTATTATCATTGTTATCATCATTAATATTATTATTATTGGTAGTAAAAGTAGTAGTATTATCAATAATAGTAGTAGTAGTAGTAGTAGTAGTAGTAGTAGTCAGTGGCGGACCCATGGTGGATTCCATTTCAATACAACATTTTGTTTTCATTTGATTTTATTCACTGAGCAAATTATCGGCCGGGGGATTAAAAAAATTTCGGGAGCCAAAAATAAATAAATTAGTGCTCACTGCCCTCCCCCCCTCCCCACTGAGCGAATTATCGGCCCGCTATTTCGCCGCTAAATATTTTCTCACGAATTGGGCCCCCTCTCCTGCCGCCGACTGGATCCGCCCCTGGTAGTAGTAGTAGCAGTAGTAGTAGTAGTAGTAGTATCGTATAGTATTAGAAGTAGTAGTATATAGAAGTAGTATTAATAGTAGTAGTAGTAGTAGTAGCAGTAGCAGTAGTAGTAGGAGTAGTAGTAATAGTAGTAGTAGTAGTAGTATAGTAGTAGTAGTAGTAGTAGCAGTAGTAGTAAAAGTAGTAGTAGTAGTAGTAGTAGTAGTAGTAGCAGCAGTGGTAGTAGTAGTGGTAGTAGTAGTAGTAGTAGTAGTAGTAGTAGTAGTAGTAGTAGTAGTAGTAGTAGTATAGTAGTAGTAGTAGTAGTAGTATTAGTAGTAGTAGAAGTAGTAGTAGTAGTAGTAGTAGTTGTTGTAGTAGTATTCTCCTCATCATTATAATTAAAATATACAAAAAGACCAATTGCTGGACGAATAAATAAAATCAAATGAAATCAAATTTATTGGAATAAAATCCACCATTTTGGAGAATGTACATGCAAAAGTATCAGAAGTATCAAACATTTTCATAATGGGTTACAAGTGAATTGTTGATCAATATGCAATAAAAATAAGAGAAGCAAATACAGTTTGATAATAACTTTTCTTGATAATCACTAGTAATTATAAAAGAAATATCAAACCAAGTTAAAGTGAATAGTCGAATTTCAGATCATCATTAAAACAAGAAAACAAAAGCAGAAGAGTAATAATAGCAGGAAAGAACATAAGTTTCATCTAGGAAAAAAGTTGATGTCGCCATACCGCAAAATTCTTCCTATAATTACAAAATACTTTGAAACAAGTATTCCTAAATCTATCAGCCAATATGTTACTGATAGAGGTGATATAAATCTTAATCATTATATTGCATTGTTATACAAAAAATTCTTCGAATTAACTGCAATGACATGAGAGGGATGATTCCATTTGTCTTTTTGACAACTCTCAGAAAATGTACTCTTTTGTGCAATACGGCAGTTTTAGACTCGTGAAGGCGGCCAAACTCAGCGTTCAATGGCACAAATCTTGTAGCTTTCTGGAGGCATAGAGAGCCCAGGGTGACCTCGCATGCTGTGGGTTGGTTGGTCGGGAGGAAGCTTGAATTCGAATTGCTGGAAGAGGTTGGTGAAGAGCAAAAATGATTCCATCTTGGCAAGTTGCACACCCAGGCAATCACGACGGCCTGCCAGGAGAGGAGGAAAATGCCGATATCTAGTAAATTGATGAATGGGAAAATTATTGTAACCATTCTTTTTCTCATTAGTCATTTAGTCATTTACTAGAATGCAGACACCATTTCTGCAATAATCTATAACGCAATCCGCCCAATGCCCCCTCGCATGGTGGATTCGCTTACAAGTAATTGAAATAACTATCAACACGACGTGAGAACCTTTGGCACAGACTTGAAAACGATCAATACCTCATACCCTTCACTTTTCATTTTTTTCAAAGAGTTGCTTTTATGTTTGTCCATACAACGCTTGCATAATATTGTGAGTATCAGGTGTAGATCATACAGTATATACTGTTTCCCTTTAAACTGTTTTCATGCTCCAATTGTCTCTCATGGGAGAACTCTACTATGATAGCATATGGGAGGAAATGGGCGAAATATGAACGGTTTATGAGGATTGATGATATACAATAACGAGTTCATTCCCTAAGAAGAACACGAGCTATCTTACCAATGCTGAATGGCATCCAAGCCTCGTTCTTCACGACTGTTTGACCATCAGCACTGAGAAATCTGTCTGGGTTGAATAGCTGAGGATCACACCACTCCTTGGGGTCATGATGAACAGCCCACAGGTTAGGGATAACGATGGTCCCCTTGGGTATGGTATAAGGTCCAATGGAGACATCTGCAGACGTCATGTGAGGCAGAGCGACCGGGAGGACGGGACGGATGCGCATAACCTCCATCAGGGTGGCGTCGCAGTAGGGAAGGTTTGGGCGGTCACTGGTGTTTGGTTGTCGGCCACGCCCAACAACTGCATCCAACTCATTTTGTACCTATTGGTGGAAAAAAAAACACTTTAAGATTTAACCCCCCGATACGCGTATTTAAAGAAATGTCTGCTCACTTGTCGGAAAATGTTATTCTTTATTAGAAATTATGCAGGTTATTAGCTTTCATAGGTCACACTGTCAATTTATTCTCTCTGTCATGCTCTCCCCTTTTCTCTTCTTTCTCTTTCTTTCTCTTATGTCTTGTAAATTCCATGATCTAGTGATATCATGATTTTAGTGCTTGTACTTATACTTGATGAATAAGATCAATCAATCGATAATTCAATTAATCAATCAATCAATCATTCTATACCTTCTTCTGAACATCCGGGTGAACAGCTAGGTAGAGTATCGCCCATGAAGTTACCACCGCTGTGGTTTCAGTACCTGCGGCAAAGAAATCCAACACAATCCTCCAGAACGTGTCCATGGGGTAATCGTTCGAGATGTCGTGTGCTAGGAACGCGTCAACGAAGTCCCGGATATTATCTTTCTGGAAAGTTTCTTGATGGTTGTAGAGATGAGACATGATGAAGTCCCTTAGCTTGAACGTGCAATCGCGGTAGGGTTTGTACCACGGAGTATGAACAAGTGATTCAAAGACATTAACTGGATCAGTATCTGAGACGAGGGCAAAGATATCCACCATTGCCTGCAGAGCTCCAATAAATTCGGGATCGTCGTACTCATATCGGCGACCGAAGACTAGCTGAACTATGATGTTAGCAGTTGCTTTGTTCAACAAAGCCGATGGATCCATGGGTTCACCATGTAGAGCCTTGATTTCCTCAGCCAGATAACGAGCTTCAAGGTTGATCTGAGGGACGAGGCTCTTCTTACCAAAGCCGAAGGAGCGAAGAGCAGGAAGAGAGAATTTCCGCTGGTCATCCCATGGCTTGCCATTACTCCAAACAATGGCAGCTGTAAGAAAGATTAAGCAGATTTGGTTTTAAATAATATAGACACAAACAGCCTCAACTCTGTTTGCCTTCATACACATGGAATTTTTTAAGCAAGAAAAATGTCTACGTTTGCAAGGTTAGTTTCCTTTTACATCGCAAAGGTTATACTTTATTATATACAAATTTTATATACGCCTTTTTTAGAAACCACAAGCGGGATGCGGTATATACTAGGCATACTTTACCATTCTTTTCAGCATCTGGAATTCCCCATCTGATATGCCCTGGTACGAATCGGTCTGAAAAGAATTCTCCTGACTTCACCAGAGCTTGTTTCATACTCGCCCTGTCGTTCAAGACAACAAAGAGAAACGGGCCTCTCCGAACGCTAAAAACGGGCCCATACTTCCTCGCCAAGTCCACGAAAGCCTCATGAATTAGACCCCAGTCGAATCGGTATCCGATGATTGGCAGCGACCATGGCCCGGGTGGAAGGTTTCTTGGACGCCGAACGAACCATAAACAGAAGAGAAACCCTAAAACTCCGAGTAATACTGACGTTGATGATAAGAAAAACATATTTAGTTTTTTACGAATGAAAATGACATTAAAATGATGAGTATACTATGAATAGTGTACGTAAATATATCCCATTAAATCGTAGCGACGAATCTGTTAGGCCAACGCACAACACCAATGTTCGATATTGCCAATAAAAATTGATATAACAAACACTCCAGTGCGCTGTTCAAAGTAACAGACTGGCATTGATAACACCCTGTGACCTGTGATCTGGCATTTTCACAGGCATATAAAGATGACTCCGCATATTATCACGATGGCCTGGAAATTTATTTTGTGTTTTTCTCTCCATTCACCCAGTACGTACTTCATGTCAAAGTCCGGGGACATCAAAGTGCAGCGTGTAGCAGACAGAGTTCGAAATTGTACTGTAGTACGTACGCGATCTCCAATTTATTTTGTTGTAGGTACATATATGTGATCATTGTTATTAATGATAAGGGATATATTATGATAATAATACAATCAAGATATACTTTCTTTTCACATGATTTGCAGACATTATCACCTTTGAAGAATTAAAGTGAATGTCTAGACATCAGAATAAAGTTTTTGATAATTGATCATTCAAGTTTTGACGCGGGAGACCGTGGTGGTTTATTTCTTACATATATTATTTTGTAATGTGTAAATGAATAGTACGTCAGGAAGACCCTAGATGTTATGACGATGGCCTGGGAAGTTATTATGTTTTTTTTCTCCCTCTTTTATAGATGTAAAATGAGCTTTACCCATCACATACTTCGTGTCAAAGTGTTCGAAATTGTAGTATACTCGATCTCCAGTTTCTTTTTGTTAAATAATTGTTCTTTCAATTTCCCATGTTCGCGTTTAGGAATTAAAGGGGCGTGTTCCCCGTATTCCAGAGGGCGCTCAAAATACGTACGCGCTGGCGGACCGCGCTATATAGTTGCCTATTGACACCAACAGAATACGGCTCTTACGCAGATGGCATATGTTGCGATAACTACACTGGCGGGAACGTGCCCCTTTAAAAGACGGGTGGCTGATCTATTGCACATCGCTATAAAACTATATTTTAGTAACACGTTTTATAAGAACTTCCTACTCCGCCAAACCAGGTCCGTTTTACGTACGCCATGTCATTTATTCAAATGAAAAGAAACGTCATCTGCCGGGCAGTTGCCTCAGACACCAACACCTATTGTTCTTCGCCCCACCATGATCGGTGGGTACAGAGAGGATATTTTTATATTCAAACACAGACGGCGGAATTAGTTGGTTGGGTAGGGAAAAATAAGGAGGCACGGCAAACTCAATCTAAATGCAAAGTCCAATCTGGCACCAAATCAGTTTGAATAAAAGCATGGCAAGACTTAGAGACAGGTCAGAAAAAGTTTGAGGAAAATCTGACAATGGGTACAATGGGTATTGTCATAATCCATAAAAACGCGCGATTGGCAATTACTCTTTCTCGCCCTCTTTTTCTTTGACGTCCCCTGTTTCGTTTTCCCTCACATGGTGTCCACGCCTTGGCGTAATATGAGCCAACAATTTTGAGGGGGCATAGCCAGGAAGAATTGAAATATTTCCTAAGCTCCCGGAACGCAATTCATATACGCCTCGGGGTATCAGTACGTTGGATGTGGGGGGGGGGGGGGAGTTCTCACTTCACCCCTCCACTGATACACATTAGTTACCTCCAGGCGCGTACGCAGGGGGGGGGCGGGGGCGGGGGGGGGGGGGGGGGTTGGGGGTTGAAGCCCCCCCTTTAACATTAATGTGTACGTTTTGGATATAAAAAAAACCCTTTGGTCGTTATTGATGTTTTTTTTTTAATAACACACACACACAAAAAAAAAAAAATTGTGATAATTGGTGACCCAAAAGAGCAGACCTTACCCCCCCCCCCCCCCGCTTATTCAGCGGCTGGCCGAGTCGTTGCAAATCCCCCCCCCCCCCCCTCCCCCTTGAACAAATCTTGCGTACGCTACTGGTTACCTCCCCATAGCTAGCCCATACGACGCACTGCATATGCGTCTATATAGCGGTGGCCAGTGGAGCCAGACGTAGTTTTCGGTCTATCCCCATATCCATCCCCCCATGCCAGCCCCGTTCTAAACTTCTACAACACTTGCTGGTTCCTCATTCGTATATATATTTGTATTTTATGTTTATCTTTCGTTATGTTATTTGTATGTTCTTTACTTATCTGTAAATATCAATGTTATAATCATGTATGTTTTTTATATGACGAATGAAATAAAAATGAAATGAAATGAAAAAATGAAAAACACTCGCTAGCTGCATGCTACCCTCTGCCCTTTAACATGAGCCAACCAAAACATTCCTAGGCCATGGTAGTTATCCAGGGTCGAGTATTTTTCCGTGTTGCTTCATTGCATTTTGCCACCTTGGAGAACTGAACAGCAATTTGGTTTGAGAACGTTCATTCGGCGTCGATCGTTAAACACAGCTAGACCTATAGTTTACGCTTCGTATCAATTTTCAGATGTCATTCGTTTGTAAGAGAAAAGAAAAATGTTTTCGCTGTTATCTACATCAATAATACTTGGAGCTTTGGTGTTTCTCATCTGTTTCTGGTTCGTTAGGCGTCCCAAAAACCTTCCACCCGGTCCATGGACGCTCCCCATTATCGGATATCGATTCAAAACGGGTCATGTTCACGAAGCTTACGTAGAGTTGGCCAAAAAGTATGGACCTGTTTTCAGTATTCGGCGAGGCCCGTTTCTCTTTGTTGTATTGAATGACAGGGAAAGCGTGAAACAAGCTTTGGTAAAATCAGGAGAATTCTTTTCAGACCGATCTGTGCCAGGACCAATTAACTGGACAATACCAGACGCTAAAAAGAAAGGTAACGTATACAGTTTTTAATAATATACATGTACATGGAAATGGGTGCGCCGTTAGATAGCTTTTACTGAAGTGGGAGGAGCCGCACAAAACAACAAACAAAAAATAACAAATAAATATATAAAAGTGCGAGAATTCTCAACTCTGACATGACAACGGGTGTTCCAGAATATATATATATTAATTTTCCGACAAACAATTACAAAAAGGAAATCTATTTACCAACAAACTTATAGATAACGCCTAGAATTGACAAATTTACCGATAATATCCATCAGGCGCGTACACAGGGGGGGGGGGGTGTTAAATCCCCCCTCCCCTTTGGTATTTTTTATGTGTGTATTTTTGAGGAAAACCCCCCCCCCCACATTTGACATTTTGCTCCGTTGGGGGGGGGGGGGGGGGCCAACGGAGCAAAATGTCAAATTTGCAAATTTCGAGACCAAAAAAAATAAATAAAAAGTGTCCTCTTACCCCCCCCCCCCCCACCCTCCCGCTTATTCAGCGGCTGGCTGAGTCGTTGCGAAATTTTCTGCCCGATAACCCCCCCCCCCCCCCCCCCCTTGAAAAAATCCTGCGTACGCGCCTGATATCCATAATGACCATTGAGAAGACGATAAGAGTTCATCCTCTTCCCTACATGGGAACGCTTTTGATCTAATTCATTTGGAATTCCATATGAAAACGGATAAAGGGGAAGGGGGCGAGATAGCGAGAGAGAGAGAGAGAGAGAGAGAGAGGGAGAGAGAAAGAGAGAGAGAAAGAGAGAGAAAGAAAAAGAAACAAGCGAATTAAATTGTCAAAAAATCAAAAAATTAAATCAAAACAATTCAAAACAAACATATTCTTTCACATGATTGGTAATAACAGCTTCCATTTCATTTTTTGAGAGGGGGGCGTTTCCAAAAAGCTCTTGTCCAAAACGGGTTTAAAAAGAAAGTTGGACCGAGGTCTAAGTTTGTTATTCTTTTAAACGGAAAATTAGACCCCGGCACAGGTAATTTTTTATTTTCTTATGCCTCCCGCCAGTAATATACTTTTTGGCACTGGGTTCTTGAGGGATCCTGTTTACAAACGTTGTAAACGTAAAGCATCGAAGCTTTTTGTGTTGACAAATGAGTATCGCCCGTATTCGACTAAAATTTAAACCTGAAGTTTGGCTTGATTTTTTGTTCAAATGCGTTTTAAGAAAAGACATTGGTATAGGGTCTAAGTGTCCCTTTGTTAAACGTGATTTAGAGCTACTGTTGGGTTGAACTGAATTGATAGAAAATAGGCCATTATGCGTTAAGAGTCATGTTGTTTTTTTTATTAGGGGAGGGGGTAGGTTTAAGGATATGGCCTTTGCTCTTGTCATCCATTTACAGCAATAAATGTAGTCTCACATATCTAGTATTATCATCTATTGTTCAATCGATTTCCTGTATCTTTCGTATGCATATAGCTTCCATTGTCTGGAGCAATGGCAAGTCATGGGTTGACTTACGGAAATTCTCTCTTCCTGCTCTTCGCTCCTTCGGCTTTGGTAAGAAGAGCCTTGTCCCTCAGATCAACCTTGAGGCTCGTTATCTGGCTGAGGAAATCAAGGCTCTACATGGCGAACCCATGGATCCATCGGCTGTGTTGAACAAAGCAACTGCTAATGTCATGGCTCAACTCATTTTTGGTCGCCGCTATGAATACGACGACGCCGAGTTTATTGAAATTCTACAAGTAATGGTGGACATTTTTGCCTTTGTTTCCGACAATGATCCAGTAAATGTATTCGAACCACTCATCCACACTCCATGGTACAAACCTTACCGAGAGATGATGATCAAGCAAAATAAGTTTATTCACGCTCAACTCTACTTCCACCGAGAAACTTTCCAGAAAGACAACATCCGGGACTTCGTTGACGCATTCTTGGCAGACGACATCTCCAAAGAATACACCCTGGAGGATTTTGGGAGAATTGTACTGGATTTTTTCACCGCTGGTACAGATACCACAGCGGTGGTTACTTCATGGGCGTTGCTCTTCCTTTCTGTTCACTCAGACGTACAAAGGAAGGTACTAAAGTAAATCTTGCATTATGATGGAAGCCGTTTCCGGGGCGATGATAAGCATAATATCCTAATTTTAAAATCCATGATTTATTCAGAATAGTGATATGCCTTATAATGTGTAATAATCTTGGCGAAACAAATTAATTCACTAGAGGAGTTTTCAGGGGAGGCAAGAAGTAAATTGTGATGGGGGAGTTTCTTTCCATCCCTCTTTCTCTATTATCCTCTTTCAGGCGATTGATATCGTGCATTTTGTACTATCAAACCTACGGATGTCATACATTTTAACATAATTTATCTATCAGGAACATTTTCAAAATGTTGATAAAATACGGGTGAATTAAGAGTCCTCGAATTCAACATTCGTTATGTTTATCTCAACAGGTACAAAATGAGTTAGATGCAGTTGTTGGGCGTGGCCGACAACCAGACACCAGTGACCGCCCGAACCTTCCCTACTGCGACGCCACATTGATGGAGATTATGCGCCTCCGTCCGGTCGTCCCGATCTCCCTGCCTCACATGACGTCTGCAGATGCCTCCCTTGGACCTTATACTATTCCCAAGGGGACCATCATTGTCCCTAACCTGTGGGCTGTTCATCATGATCCCAAGGAGTGGTGTGATCCACACCTATTCAACCCGAACAGATTTCTCAGTGCTGATGGTCAAACAGTCGTGAAGAACGAGGCTTGGATGCCATTTAGCACTGGTATAGGATACGTAGAATAGTATAACGGGAAGAAGTTTCAGCTCTGAAACTAATCATTAAAAGTCAATCATCACCTGTTTATATATATTTTTAAAAACGATATCACGGGATGAATAGAAGGCGATTAGTGTAGATTATTTAGCATTTAAGACGTATACATGCCCTCACTGTTATTGGCGCCAATTAAAGCTGTTGTTATTTACTCTCACCTATTTATAACTAAAAACCTGCAGAATTATTCACCTACGTCTTCCTAACCAGCGTCCCGCGATTAGTCGACGCTTATATCATCTACCAAACATCAACGCCATCAAACCAGTGATTTCATTTTCCTAATATTATGACCGACGTTCTAGGAAAAAATGAAATCGTTGGGCTTATAGTGCCTATATACGTGTAGGTTTACGAGACATAAGCAAAATCAGCTTGATTTTTAGGTCGTATATCATTCCCCGGAAAACCTCGACGAATTCGCCCTTGAAAACAGAGTTTTCTGTCAGGAATAGGAACTGTCAATTTTCTTCCAAAACGAAAATTGTCTTGAAAAGATGAGAGGGATTAATTGTGGAAAATTGAAGGTAAGATCGGTTTTGAATTTCTTGTTTTATTACCTCTCCTGTCAGGCCGCCGTGATTGTCTGGGTATGCAACTCGCCATGATGGAGACATTTTTGCTCTTTACCAATCTCTTCCAGCAATTCGAATTCAAGCTTCCTCCTGACCAACCAACCCACAGCATGCGAGGTCACCCTGGTCTAACAATGCCTCCAGAAAGCTACAAGATTTGTGCCATTGAACGATGAATATCACCCGTATCAGTGCAGTAGAGAAGCCTAAAACAGCAGCTGTTACGACTAATTTCAGTTGTTCATATCCTTCATGAGCTTCATGTCTTTATCAAGCTATTATTTTCGTAACTTAGTTGCTTTAACAGATTTTTCTCAACTTATTCGTACATGTATATTATATATACAGTGCGTCCCAGAAAAAACGAAACCGAGAATTATCGATGTTTTATCATAATTCAATCACAATTATAATTAATAAATGACACATGTTTGTAAAACTTAGATCCTTCTCTTTCATTTGGTGCAACTCATATGATGCATAATTCACGCATGAGCGATTAAAAACAATTTGAAGAGAGGAAATCAGAAAGTCATTTAGCGGGCGGTATATCTGAATTTCAAAGAGTAAATAACATTTCTAAAAATTTCAATTTCTGCCCTTTCAAATGACACCTCAATCAGGAAAAATGAGCCAGGACTAACAAAGTTCTGTTTGTTTAAAGTACTGCTTGCATTTCCATAATTTGATTGAACGAGTTCATTGTCACTGGCTGTCTGCCGTAGCAACAATTAAACATAGTTGACAAAAGACTTGACTCCGTTTTGTTGACGATCAGCCATGCACAAAGAAGACGAAAGAAAATTTTCACGGTCTCAAATTTACAGTGAAACTATCCCTTTTTCGTGCTCTGTACAATCGCAATGCAAAAAACTATACATGAGGGATATAATATTTAACATTTACCGCTCTCTGTGCACCCAGGTGCTGATTGGGTACCAGGTATAGGATGCGAAAATCATTGTATATTTCGCTCATCATTGTGCGCGTATGTAAAATGGCGCCTGGCTGAAATGCTCCACAGGGAGTGAAGAATGTGCATCCACTGCGTACGGGCAGCGTCTTATTTTTTCGTACCACGGCGAGCCCAGATTGAGCTCGCAAGGGGCAAGTCTGATCCGATGACCGAGGTATATATATCGTTAAAGTGCATAGAGAATCCCGTACATGTATAAAACGCTGTAGACTTCGCTGTATAAACCCAGAATGTTATCATTATATCATTATAATTATTATTATTTTAATTATTATCATAATTATTATTACAATTATCATTATCGTTATTAGTATTATTAGTATCATCATTAACATGCCTTTCACCAATGCATTTGTTCTAAATAGTTTGTGATAATAATCATCATTCAGTCCAGAGGAATTCATTCTATTCTTCTCCAGACCAGTCTTTGTCGAGCTATACGTATATCATTCACGATACATGTAGATATTTTACTTTTCACCTCTCTGTAATCGATTTTCCTGCGCTACTCATGAATAAAATGCTGAAAAGGTGTTAGAAAAAGAATCAAAACAATATAATGTGAAAGAGATTTCAAATATATAATTATTACTTCAATTAAGGATGGATATATCAAATATAGCCTGTAAGTTTGATAAATATGGACTCAGTAGTCAGTACGTTCGAGTCATTGATATTACATCAGCCTGCATGTAGGAAATGTTTACCAAATATTGATGAAGAAATCAAATGTTATGAATATTTTTACCGGTTTCGCATTTGTAAATTCGTGATTAGCTCCCCTATTCTCATATTATTTCAAGTTCATCTGGCCCTTCTACGTTTGATGCTTTCTTGTGTGCCGTCCAGTTTGTATTTTGTTCATTTTCCTGGTAATTGTTTGCTTGGTTTTCCTTCAACTTTCATACCTTTGTTTACGTTTTGTGTATCTCCATACGTATATTTTTTGAATTGGTGCAGTTCGTTAGTTAGAAACCCGGGAAGGGGGGGGGGGGGGGGTACTCACATATTACGACATACGGGGTGTGCCGCTCTAATGGGTAACTTTTTCACACAAAAATCCCTAAACATGGGTCCAATTTTCAACAAAAATACCCCTAATATAAACATGGGTCCGCTATTTTGTTTGCCATGCAAACACTCGAAAAAAAAAATGAAAAATGGGGTTTACTTTGATAAAAAGCCGCCAAAATGACGGTTTCGAGGCTTCAGCGGCACACCCCCGTCAAAACCAAATCTGAGTATCCCCTCCCCCCCCCCTCCCTCTGGGGTCAGAAGTACACTTCGTTTATGAAATTGTATGTATAATGTTTTGATAAACAGATTTCAACTATATGCTTCAAATGTATAAACAAATTAAACTTCGATGAAATAAAACTTCCTGATGCACAATAAGTTGCACATTTCTGGTTTTATACAGATGTCACATAAAATAAAATATATTTTAGACACACTATATAAATTATGATTGATTTATTGAATGATTGGTTTATTATACTGGATTTGGCAACCCGTCATGTTTTACTTAGACGCAAACAGGGGATTCATAGTAACAGCTGAATGAACATATAACAAAAAGAAATTGGAGATCGCGTACATACCCAAATTTCGAACACTGACTGCCTCTTGCTGCACCTTGACACGAAATATGTGACGGGTGAAGCAGGGGCGGATCCAGCCGGTGGCAGGGGAGGGGGCCAAAGAGGGGGCCCAATTCGTGACAATTTTCAAAACAGCCAACAGGTGAAAAAGAGGGGGAGGGGGGGGGGGGGGATAAGGAGCACTATATTTTTGTTTTGCCCCCGAAAATGTAAAAATCGCAGGCCGATATTTCGCTCGGGGGGGGGGGGGGGGTTCTGAGCTTAAAAACAATTGCCCCCGCAAATTTGAAAATCTCAGCCCACCCCCCTGAAGCACCAGGGGAGAGGGTAAAATTAACGTGTTTTAACCCTTTTTTCTTCGAGCGGAGGCCCCCCCCCCCTCCTGGATCCGCCACTGGGGTGAAGGTCATTTAAGTTCCATAATAAATTGAGAGAAAAACACAAATAAATTCCCAGGCCATAAGATCTAGGGTCTTCTTTATGTCTGTCGGAAAAACACAAATCAAAGTTCTCTGGGTGTTTTTCTATTCCAGTGGGTGACTTTGAACAGCACTGGGATGTTTGTTTATTAATTTCAGACATTGGTGTTGCGCGTTGGCCTAACATATTCGCGAAAATTTCGCAACGAGTCAGCCAGCTGCTGAATAAGCGGGGGGGGGGGGGGGGGGGGGGGGGGGGGGGGTAAGAGCACATTTTTTTGGTGTTTTTTTGGTCCCGAAAATTTCGCAACGACTCGGCCAACCGCTGAATATGCGGGGGGGGGGGGGGAGAGCACTTTTTTTTTTGGGGGGGGGGACCCACATTTTTTAACGACTCAAGGGGGGGGGGTAGGGTCGCTTTTTTTGGTCACCCTTTTGCACCAATTTTTTTTTTTTTTTTTTTAAATTGAGGGGGGGTTCAACCCCCAAAACTCCTCGCTGCGTACGCGCCTGTACATAATACTCATCATTCTTATCTATTTTTCATTCATAGAAGACTAACAATATTTTTCCTGTCATCAACGTCAGTATTTCTTCTTCTTCTTCTTCTTCTTCTTCTTCTTTCCTCTTCCTCTTCCTCTTCCTCTTCCTCCTCCCTCCTCCTCCTCCTCCTCCTCCTCCTCCTTTTTTCTTTCTTCTTCTTCTTCTTCTTCTTCTTCTTCTTCTTTCTCTTCCTCTTCCTCCTCCTCCTCCTTCTTTTTCTTCTTTCTTCCTCTTCCTCTTCCTCTTCCTCTTCCTCCTCCTCCTCCTCCTCCTCCTCCTCCTCCTTTTTTCTTTCTTCTTCTTCTTCTTCTTCTTCTTCTTCTTCTCTCTTCTTCCTCCTCCTCCTCCTCCTCCTCCTCCTCCTCCTCCTTTTTCTTTCTTCTTCTTCTTCTTCTTCTTCTTCCTCTTCCTCCTCCTCCTCCTCCCCCTCCTCCTCCTCCTCCTTCTTTTTCTTCTTCTTCCTCTCCTTTTTCATAAAAACTTTGCATTTAAACTGTGCACAACTAGACTGAAGTTCACAAGGGAAACCTTGTATAATTGTTAATTAGTAAGAATCTTTATTCATTAAATTGGAAGTGGTGCTTCAAAGAAGACAGGTGCATACAAATTGTTCACTTTGGTTAAGATCTTTATATCACATTTCACAATCCTATTGTGTTTAATTTGGAGAAGAAAAAATCCATAAAAAGTGATAATATAGTGGATTCAAGAATCTCTTCATTAGTGAAAGTTTACAATATATGGCACGAATATAAATAAACATGTTGAATTGTTAACATCCAACAACTAAACATCTGCTATTAGCTCGAGGGAGCGAAATGGAAGTGTTGATAAATAAGACATCACAGTTACGTTAACGATTTGTTAATATGAAGTGTCCAATATAAATAGTAATCAGAACTTGTGAAAATGCACAACTTTCTTATTGGTCACCTCATCAAGTCCAATTTCCCTTTAACATTAGATATATTAGACACAAATGTTTTCTTATTAATAAAGAAAAAAAGAAAATTTGTTCTAGGTCCTTCTAAAGTGATGAAAACAAACAAAACAAAAAACAAACAAACAATTTTCTTCCTGTACACACTCTTCACATAATCTAAAAAACTTGCAAAGAATTCTAATTTTGTTCTTATTAATAAAGAAAATTTGTTTCTGGGTCCTGTTGAAGTGATACAAAACAAACAAAAAACAAACAAACATTTTTCCTCCTGTACACACTCTTCAAAGAGATGTAGGAAAACTTGCAAAGAATTCGTGACAAGAAATTAAGGTTTTATACAAAATTATGATTGTCAAATGTAAATATAGAAATCATTTGGAACAATACCTCGGAGTGCTTAAAAATTTAATATAATAGGTAGACTATCTATTCTACAACATGATTTTCACTAAATAAATCTGCAATACTGACATTATGAACATGTATAATGCTATACATGTTAAAACAAAGAAAAATACTTGCAAATTTCTGACTACCGGTAATGTATTTCAAAAAGGCAAAAAATATGGCACTATTTAGTTTGGCACGTAGTACTTTTGTACAGATTTAGTTGAGTACTTGCAAATACAGTTATAGCATCACGGGTTGAAACACAATTCTACCTCACAATCTTTCTCTCTAGGCAATGCATTTATAGCAATTGTTATTATAGTTTGAAAAGGTCTATGACTTAAACCAAAACAACAATTACTTTTTCTTCAATGAAAACACTCTAGAAGCTAGCTGCAGGCTAGGGCCTATAATAATCAGTCTACCAGGACAGTCCAGAGAGCTTAAATCCTGCATTGTCACCACTAAGCATATGTTGTGGTTGAGTGGATATGTCACCAGAC